CATCCTAGATCAACTCCCCTCTCATCCCTCAGATTCCAGTTTAAGGCCACCTCCCCCGAGACGACTCTCCGACCATCCAAACTAAACCCCACTCCACACCCCACCCAGCTTAGCCCTGGACCTGGCACCTCATGGGGGCTCAGTAACTATTCCAGAAAGAAAAGGTAGGTACAGTCTCCATCCCAGGCCATCTCCCGCAAGCTCCTGTCTTCCTCCTTCTCGGCTACCCAGGATTCAGCGCCCGCTCCCTTTATTTTTACATTTCTCGAAACTACCCACACAAACACCATATTGTGGGGTTTCTTTCTCCTCCAAAATTAGCTGCAGAACTGGACAAAGGCTCCTTGGCTGCTGGCTTCCTGGCTGTCTCTTTCGGTTTCAGGGTTTAAAAGCTAGTCCTGCAGGGGAACAGTGGGAGAATGGAAAATCACCAACAGGGAGAAGTGACGGAGTCCGGAGACCAGCCGAGTTCTGACAGTCATGGCCATGCTCTATAGTTAGCTCCTGACTTCCTTTCTTGGCAAGATCTTACCGGTTATCTAGGGCAGTCCCCGTTTCAACTGTTCCGTTCCATTGTCTGACTATGTATCATGAGTTTTCTTACAATATGGTCCCTCTACCCCCTCTCCACCTGCTCTCCCCACAACCAGGGTGGCCTTTCCTGAACGACCCGCACACTCAAGAGGTGAAAGGCCATGGGTTCCAAGTTCAAGCCCTTGATCCACCACATTAAAGTCTGTGTGACTTTGGGGAAAGTATCCTCTCCGAGACTCCGTTTGCTCAGCTGTAAAGTAGGAATAGACTAGTACCTTCCTCCCAGGATTTGGCAGGGGATGACTGGCATACAATGTGTTGAGCATTTGGCACTCATAGGAAGCCCCCTTCCCTCTCAGGATGGATAAATGGCATGAAATTTTCAACCAAAAGACTCTTGGGGCCTGGTGAGCAATTTAGTGCTTTAACCCAAAGTGTAGGTGGATAATTAACATGCTGTTGAGTGACGGGTGCTTTCTCTCAGTTCTCCTGCGGCCTGACTGGGGAGCCAGGTCGTGTCCATAGGTGGGGAGCGCAGGCTTCCTGATGAGGAAAAGTGATCAGTTGCAGCCACCAGGGAAAGGACAAGTATTTATTGGAAACCAGAGCTCAGAAGACTGGCCTTGGGCAGACCAGAAAGGGTTCGTCTCTCGGGCCTGGTTCTCCTGGGCCCCAGCTTGCGAGCCACGGTGCATCCCCAAACAGGGGGTGAAAGATGGCCTCTCCACGTGGAACAAGGAGAGAAGATGGCACCGGTCACTCAGTGTGCACGTCCCCTTGGTACCCTGGAGCCTCCCCTGAAGGCTGTCTGAACACCTGGTTCGGATTTAGTTCTGCAGACGGACAGTGTGCCACCTCCTAGGCCAGAGTGTGAAGGGATGACCAGTGTCTCCAAGGCCCCCTTGTGACAACCTTTCAAGGGGAAGGTGCATGCAGGTGATTCCTGGGGACAGAGGAGGTATCATGCAGCCCCGTTGCCCCTGCCCACGTGGCAATTCTCTTTCCGGGGCTAACACACGTGGTCCTGCCTGGAGTTTGTCCTTATTAAGGAAGCTGGCACTTCCTTTCAACGTGTCAGGGGCACCAGGTGCACACCATGTTCACATCACCTCCCGGAGGGGCCCCCTTAGCAGGAAAAAGGGCACTTTGTGCTTCAGGCCACGTCTGTTGAAACAAAACAGCAGGCCGGGCCCTGGGGCGGGTGGCTGGGAGACCTGGAAACAAAGTCACCTACTCTTGGCTTCCTTGTTTGACAGAGAAAACCACCTCTGTACTCTTTTCCTGGGGCTGCTGAAGCAAATCCCACAAACCTTCGTGGCCGAACACAACGCATATCTGTTATCTGACAGTCAGAAATCCAAAATAAGCTTACGAGGCTAAAGTCAAGGAGTCAGCCGGGCTCGTTCCTTCTGGCCCCAGGGCAGAATCCATTTTCTTTCCTTTTTTTCACCTTCTAGAAGCCTCCTGCATTCCTTGCCTTCCATCACCACATCCCTCTTCTGTGTCTGAAGGACTCTTGCGATTACCTTGGGCCCCCTGGGTAATCCAAAATAATCTCCCCTCTCTCAGCTCTCCTTAACTTAGACACATCCTCCAAGCCCCCTTTGCCATGTAAGGTGATACGTTCCCAGGTGCTGGGGGAGTGGGACAGGGGTGTCTTTGGGGAGCCATTATTCTGTTGACCACAATCTTCTTACCATGTAAAGCTGTTCTCTTCCAAACCTCACACATTTCCCAGGCTCCAGAAGGGACCTTATGCCATCTCGAGCCAAAGGGCCCGGGCTTAAAATTCCTAAGACAGAGGGTCTGCAGAAACTTCTAGCTGCAGAAACCTACTAGCACTTGCTGTACCTCTGCTAGTGTGCCAAAGCCTTACATACGACGTCTCCTTTAACACTTACGACAATCCTGGGGAGACACTGAGGCTCGCAGGGGTGGAATAATGTTCCCAAGGTCAGCAGGTGGCAGAGCTGAATGGGAATGAGAGGTTTCTTTCCGCACCTGCCACAGCGTAGCGCAGGGTGCAGCTCCCTGGGGCCCTGGCTTGGTACATTACCAGCGTTGTTTTTCTCCTGGCATTAGAAACAACCCCAGAGAGGGGACCATCGCTTATGGTGACAAGGGCTGTTTAGACAGGTCAGAGCCACACACTAGTAGCTGAGGTTTACAGCTTCTGGAAGTGAGAGGGTGTGTGTGCGTGTGTGTGTGTGTGTGTGTGTGTGCGCATTCCATTAACTCGTACTTTTTTTTTTTAATGTTTTTTTTTTATTTTCGAGGGAGAGAGAGAGTGCAAGCGGGGCAGGGGCAGAGAGAGAGGGAGACACAGCATTCAAAGGAGGCTCCACGATGGTCAGCGCAAAGTCTCATGTGGGGTCCGAACTCATGAACCGTGAGCTCATGACCTGAGCCAAAGTCGGAAGCTCAGCCGACTGAGCCACCCACGTGCCCCACATTAACTTGCACTTTGAATGGAGAGGAGAAGGGGAAGACTGTCCTAGGGGCGGGAGTGTATGATTGTTAGCCGGACAGGAAGGGAGGCCCAGTAAAGGGTCACTAAAAGCACTGTCTGTATTCAAAACATTCCTCGACATGGTGGCTTGAAATCACCGTCATCATCATCCAAGGACATTTACCAGAGACCTTTGTCCTTGGGCTGACGAGATCTGTGGAGAGGCGGACCCCTGCACAAATATGGCCGTGGAGAAGTTCAGTGGAAAGAGACACAGACTCTGCTCCCAGGAGGCACCAGATCCGAAGAGGAAAGGAGGAAAGAGATCCTGTCTTCAGGGAGATCCATGTGCGGCAGATGGAAAAGAGAGTGCTCAGTTTAGAAGGAAAGCTGGAACCCACAGGAGCCAAGCACACCTCCACGCAGGCAGGTGTTCCCAAATCCCCACAATCCAATGGTTGTAAAGCCAGAGCCAGAGGAAAGAACCCTTAGAAGTGAGCTTGGTGAAAGAAGAAGTTTCCAGGAGGAGGTGAGTCTGGAAGCAGGAGGGAGAAGTGAAGTGGAGAGTTGAGAGCAGAGCGCTGGGGAGGGAGAGGAAGTCACTCATCTGAGGGGTCCGTGGAGGTAAGAGAGGTGGGCGCGAGTAAGCCTGACCACCGGCAGGGAGCTGCCCAGATGAGCCAGAGTGGTCATCCCTTCTTTAACAAGACGGGCAAGGGCAGGGGTTTTATAAAAAAAAATAAACACACACGTCTCTGATCTGGGGGCTCTGGGATGGGCGAGGAATCCCGGCCCCGAGTTCTTGAGTGGTGCCTCACCCAGCTTTCTCCTCCTAGTCCGCTGCCCAGAGAACGCAGACCCGCAAGCGTCCCTGGCTCCCTTATAGAGGAGGCCCCCCACATGGCTATCCCACCCATCCAGGCAGAAATGGTGTCCGGATCATTCCCCACCCTGTCTACTTACCAAGAAACTGATGACAGGTCAGCTGAAGGGACCGGTACGATCACGTGTCCATTATCTTCATGTGGCTTCTCTAGAGAGACCAGTTTTCATGATCCTCTGACTTTTAGTTAATGTACCAAACGTATGTGAACACTGCAGGAACAAAAGGTGAAGCTGTGCCTTGTTTGTTTGTTTGTTTATTTATTTTTAAGATCTTATTTTTTTAAGTAATGTCTACTCCCAACACGGGGCTCAAACCCACTACCTCAAGAGTGGCACCACCGACTGAGCCAGCCAAGTGCCCCCCCCCCTTCCCTGTTTCCAGTGACTAAGCACTTCATATGCCACAGTCAAGGGAAGAAAAAAAAAAAAAAAAAAAAAAAAAAAAAAGGAAAAAAACCGACAGGGCTGTCGTAACTGGCTCTGTTTCCCCAAACAATAAGCCTTGAATACCTCCCAGAAATGTGGACTCTCTAACAAAAACAACACTTGATCCCTGAGTTTTGCTGTGCCGAAATCTGAGGGCATGTTCTGAATATGACAGCCATGTGAGAAAGCTGCTATTTTCCACCACGAATAGACCACTATAAACACGGTCATCTTGGTCATTTTTGATTTTTCCCTTTAAATACTGGTGCTTTGTATTTGACCTGCTGGCCGTCAGAAAAGCAGCCCCCTCGCACTTTTCACGAGTGATTGTTTTCTTCCCTTTCCTAAAAGCACTGATCTCTGGTTCTCCCCTGACAGCTTACTCCTAGGATTCCCACCGATGGTGTCAAGGTCGCACACACCTCGTCCAGACCCAGGGCCGTGGAGCCCTCACCCTCCCCTGGCTCCTCCGGGGACTCTCCTGTGAGCTGACGGAGCTGCATCGGGTTCTCGGCCAAGTTCGTTTCTGGTTCTGGGGGAGCTACAGCCGGGTGTGCCCACACTGGTGGCAGGAGCAGTGCAGACCACCGTGCGATTAGCCTGGCCACGGAGCGGTTTCTGTCACGGGGCAACCCATGGGCGTTCTGGAATCGGATTCCCCTGGTACGCTTTTGCTTTGGTGAGGGGAATGTGTTTGAGGATTCTGGGAGGAATGTGGTTGAGGATTCTGATGGTTTCCGGCATTTGAGAATACAGAGGTTGAAAAGGGGTTGTGTGTGCGTTTCTGTACTCTTGATTGGGTTCTGTGTTCGCATATTTCGTGTTGGTACCGGTAGAAGTTCTGTTCTCATTTCAGAAGCTCTTCCTTATCCCGGAGTTCTGGCTTTTTTTTTTTTAAATGTTTATTTTTGAGAGCGAGAACGTGAGGAGGGGAGAGGCAGAGAGAGAGAGGGGGACAGCGGATCCGAAGCAGGCTGTGCACTACAGCAGAGAGCCTGATGCAGGGCCCGACCGAGTTCACGAACCGTGAGATCACGATCTGAGCTGAAGTCAGATGCTCAACCAACAGAGCCACCCAGATGCCTCCCAAAGTTCTGGTTTGTATCGTGTACTCATTATGGTCCCAATAGCTGTTGATAGTGACAAAGGTGAACACCCTATACCAAAGATGAAAGGAAACAAAAGGCTCTCTTGAATGTCCCTAAGTAATGAATGATTCAAAATTAACCTCTCTTCGGAAACTTACATATGAGGTTAAAAGGAGGTTATTATTGTGAGGGATGTGGGCATTATAAGAGAGAGAACGTACGCTGCTAAATTCAAAAGGAAATCCCCAAATTACTCGGACTTTCAAAAACGTGTCCTCCAAATGACCTGATGGTGCTTAATTATAGGACTTAATTGATCAAGTTTCTTAAAAGACGCTGGTAGTGCCTGTTTCTATCTTAGATTCTCTTAGCTCCTCCAACTTGTACAGGAGTTGGTAAAATGATCTATTTTACATAAAGGAAAACATTTTGAGCAAACAAATTGATACAGTTTATTCACTCCTGGAGGAAGTTAATAGGTCAGATTATGGTTAAGATCTTTTCAAATCTAATGGACTAAGTACCTATTGCAAACTTCTTTTTCCTAAAAGAAATATTACCATATCAAGCACTCACATAAATGTGAAGAATCCAAAGATTTCTAAAATATTTTTCTACTTTCATGCTTTAAATCTGTTGACTTTTTGAGAATTTTTTTCTTGCTAAAACTATTCAAGTTTTCTTGCTAAAACTAAAATTTATAATTTGTTGCTAAACTATATAATTATAAAAGGGGGGGGAGACGGCTTAATTAGTGATCTTGGTTACTAGGGTATAAAATAAGCAAAAGCAACTGTTAAAACATCTTAAAAGTTTTAATATCTCATCTATAATTGTGTAAGCAGAATAATTTGTGTAATATTCTAATCAAGATGATTCTTTGGAAAAATGAAACTGGTTTAATAATTTGGGTTTGTAAACAGCTCTATGCCTTCTCCCTGATTCTACCACCATCATAAAACCAATGTGAATGCAATATTCTAGTCTGTACAATGTGGGTTTATTTGCCTGTAGAAAGTGCAATTATTTTGAATTGCCTAACTTTTCTCTACCATTTTTCCTGGTCATAAACTAACATCAATTTATCTAAGATTACAAAATTGCAGAATACAGAGTTCAGGTAAGTTAATAATAAAGGGTAGTATCTTTATAGAAAAAGATTATTCTGTAGAATGCTAAAAGGACACACAGTGTTAATGTGTCAGATTATAACTTCCAGAGCCTTAGTTAACCATAAGACCTTAAACTAATATTAATTTGAGTTAATAATAAGCAATTTTTGGATACTCGAACAGCATCATTTTAAAATACCCCTGCTGTTATTTAATACAGCATAGCATAGGGGCGCCTGGGTGGCGCAGTCGGTTAAGCCTCCGACTTCAGCCAGGTCACGATCTCGCGGTCCGTGAGTTCGAGCCCCGCGTCAGGCTCTGGGCTGATGGCTCAGAGCCTGGAGCCTGCTTCCGATTCTGTGTCTCCCTCTCTCTCTGCCCCTCCCCCGTTCATGCTCTGTCTCTCTCTGTCCCCAAAATAAATAAACGTTGAAAAAAAAAATTAAAAAAAAAAATACAGCATAGCATAGCCAGCAGTAACAGGTTGAAAGCTTGTATAAATGCCTTTGGGTTATGTTAATGTACATACAGAGTTTTAAAAGAAAGATTAAAAAAAAAGATCAGTTATAATAATATGTACATGCAAGATAACAGATATATTTTTTAATCAGGAGAAAAAAAAGAAAACTTTTATCATAAACTAAAAATGTCCGTGTGCAAAACATAAAAGAAAATAGTAAGAGACAAATTTGAGGTTATGCAGCAAGCTTGGATGGTCCAAGGGGAAAGTAAAATCCATTTTCTTATGTATAAAATAGCTATAAATAATGAGTTTGAAAGGAGCAATGACGTGTTAATTGTTTAAATGGGTTGGCTTGATGTTAATTAAATTACTCATGAGTATTGTATTCTTTACTATAAATTGTTACACTAATGATCTATGCAAAGAACACACCCAGCATTGAGATCTGCTGCCCGTTTTTCTAACTAATGTAACCTACTCCCAAACAATGCAAGTCCCTTTTTATAAACAGATTCTGTTAATTCTTTGCTCTTTTGGCATATTTTTTTTACATTTTAACATAAAGTCCTTCTTTTGGAAAACATTAATTTTCCTAAATAATTACTACCTATTTCTGTGTGTGTTTTTAAAAAAAATATTGCTGGGGCACCTGGGTGGCTTATTCGGTTAAGCCTCCGACTCTTGGTTTGGGCTCAGGTCATGATCTCACAGTTTGTGAGTTTGAGCCCCACGTCATGCTCTGTGCTGAGAGCACAGAGCCTGCCTGGGGTTCTCTCTCTCTCTCTCTCTGCCCCTCCCCCCGCTCACTCTCTCTGTCTCTCTGTCGGAATAAAGCAACTTAAAAAAAATTAAAAATATATTGTTAAAACATTGCTTATAACTAGTTTCTGCCATCCAATAATTAAGTTCATATCTCGTACTTAAGTTCATAACTCTTTCAAATTTGACCTTGCCCAAATTTGGGCCACTCGTGCAGAAGAGTAAAACTGTGAAGACATCTCTCACGCCAAACCATTGATAGGTTTTTGAGACGGCCATCGTTAACGCATGGACTTATTTTTTCACTTTATGAAATGGGATGTATGAAAAGTAATGAGTTCTGTTTGCCATTCTCCACATGGTTGATTAGCCCGACACAATTGTCAGAGTCGTCCTATTTATTCCTGCTCATCAAAAAGAAACATTCAGTTTTACTAAGTATTTATAAGTAAAATGCATTGATTTAAACATTTCCATGATTCTAGTGAAAACGATCAGGTTCACATTTCACTTTGAAAAGGAACCTTCTGATACTCGTGTACAGAGACTGACACGATAATTGTCAACACGTTCATTTACTTTAAATTTTGTCCCTAGGTTTAATTATCCTCGTCAGTTGGTAACATTCTTACTTTATGGCGTAAAATAAAGGCCCTAGGGATTTGCTAATGCCCTCGGTCTCACAAACTGATTGCATATTATACCTTAATAAAAGACTCCCAAGTTCCTCCATTCTCGTTGATTAACTAGAACCATTTAATCTCATGTGTACAGATGATAATTAATCTTATAATTACAGATGATATTTCCTTTTTCCCTGCATCTAATAAAGGCCGCTGCTACGAGCTCAAGATCAGGAACGAGTCTTCTGGAACAAATAATAGAAAAATGTCAACAAAGAACCGCACAGTCGTACTCATTGGGTTGTTATCACTACAACAGCAGAGCTGAGTGGTCGCATATGCAAACAATTTAAAAGCATAAAACTTTGCAGATGTAGTCTACCTAACCCAAGAGCAGCAAAAACAAATATTGGTTACCTAGGACTAAATGAATTGGCTTCATTATGGTTAATACTTACATTAACCGACATCAGGGAATTCTAGAGGGAATTGATACTTACGACCATGTAGGTTATTTACCTAGGTTCAATAAGAATCTGTCCTTTTTCTTGGATATTGACCATGCCAAAAATCCCACTTAATTAGGTGTGACAAACCCATAAGGAACAAAGACTACGATTTACATGGGGGAATGACACCTATAAAGTCCTCCCAGGAAAACTTCTCTGGGACAGCCCTTATGACTCAAGAAATTCCAGCCTTACGGGTAGTAAAAATATTCACTTCCTGGCAGTCCAGAAATATTAACACAGAGGGGAATTTTAGAGAAAATCATGCTAATAAAGATGGTAAAGATCCTTCTGACACATAAGAGTAATTTATAACCTGAGGAGCTTTAC